AGTTTCCTTATGCTTCATTTCAGCAAATACTAGGAGGATTAAGACTTGCCCAAACTTGCCCAAAAAAACAATTCCTTCCTTCCTTCCTTCCTTCCTTGGCCTGAAATCTTTGTTCTGTGTCGACGAGTATCTAACTGAGGGTAAATCAATTTCGCCAGCCTCTATCTTTACCCTTTTAGTCTCTATCAGTCACAGCCTTTGCATTCTTTCACAAAATGTAGAATTCTATGTCGTCTCCATAATGARCCTTAATGAAGTAGCCTCGCCATYTTTGTAGCGTATTGTTGTAAATAAAACTAATGGATAAAAGATCTACCCCATTCCAAACTCAATTGAAAAGCGCAGTAATTTACGTCGATGTAACTATTATTCTTACATTCTAAAAAAAATATTCCATATCTAATGCTTTTTATATCATTTCCAGGTACACTTTATAGCTGGTCCTTGATTTTATATGGAACGAGTTTGGATATCTTATCAAACAACTCCCACGTTATTRCAAGTTCCCCAACAAAGTTCCCTACTACGACAGTGCAACCAACTTCTGAACCTCGTAAGCAGAATCCATTACCATTTCCCTTCCCCCTTTACCCTGTTTTTCTTTCTTTCTTTTTTTATTTTTTTATTATTTTTTCCTCTTGATTTATTATTATTATTATTTTATTTTTGTGTGGCTTTGTTTATTAAACTTGTGAGAAGGGGACTTTTATTCTTTGTTTGTTTACAAACACGAACCAGAAGCCTGACGTCTACAATTTGCAAATCGATTTTTTTTTTCCCCCAAGATTATCCCAGTTATTTTATAGAGATTACTTAATGGAAAATGCGCGCGTACGGTTTTTATGCACGAGTTGAAAAGTATCAGAAAATTCAGAATTGTATGTCGTCTCCATAATGAACCTTAATGAAGTAGCATCGCCATCTTTGTAGCGTATTGTTGTGATAAACGGGTCGAGATAACCCAACGATGGACATCTGAAGTGTTGTCTCATAGATTTTAACATTTGTAGTTTTACTATATACTGAAACGACATTTATTTGAAATTGTATATTTTTTCTATGGAAAATGCTTGACCTTAACTTGAAAACTCATGATGGAGATTTGAACAAGAAGAAAAGGCGCCAAGGAAAAGAAAAGCTGTTTCCACATAATACTAATGGATAAAAGATCTACCCGTTCCAAACTCAATTGAAAAGCGCAGTAATTTACCTTGATATAACGATTATTCTTACATTCTTAAAAAAAGACATGTGGGAAGCACGGGTGGCGTAGCGGTTACAGCGCTCGCCTCTCACCAATGCGACCCGGGTTTGAGTCCCGCTGAGCTCGGTGTCGTATGTGAGTAGGGTTGTTTGTTGGTTCTCTCCTGTGCTTCGAGGGTTTTCCGGGTACCCCGGCTTTCCTCCCTCCGCCAAAATCAACTCCTAAATTCCCATTGGAATGACAGTGGATGAATAGCTACTCTGTAGAAATGCCACTGCTAAACCCCATTTTGTATTATTTTTATTTTTATTATTAGAAAACGAAGGAGTGAGCGTAGCGTAGCGAGTGAGTTTTCTGATACGCATTAACGAGTGATAAAAACCTTACAAGTATTTTCCATTCCGTACTTTATGTAAGAGTTAATTCCCGAGAACGGAGGCAATAAGCCATGTACATTTCGAGGGCCGCAGGCCCGAGGGATGTATAGTCTTATTACCGACGTTCGAGGTAATTAATAATGGTAATTGAACTGAGTGGAGTGCAATTTGGTCTGAACTCAAACGCGAGATTACAAAATCGCACGACCGCGTAGCGAGAGTGACATTTGTAATTGCAACTTTGATTTCAGACCAAAATTGCACGACACGAAGTTCAATAACCACTTTATTATATCCATTTTGAAATCTTTTTTGAAAAAGACGGGTTTTTTTCCAGTTAAACCGACATGACTTACAATCTAAAAGCAGTTGATTCAAACATGCTGTCAAGAGAACTTATTTATACTGATCGAGCAGTGATTCTCATTTTGAAAAACAACACTTTCAATTTAAAAAGCTAAAATGAATTTATATAGGACCAAAAGGCATTACATGTATTAAGAATCATTTACTTACATTAAATAGCAATACAATCCTGCTCAAAAGGGTTGTAATAAACTGGCTCTTGTCCATACAGCCAATGCTCACTGCTTGTATTCACTGCTGATATCAATGCTGCAGGGAACTTATCAGATTGCAGGATTTGCTTGTGATTTCAAAATGGATGTAATAAAGTATTTTATTTGTCAATAGAGAAGGTTTTCTATCAAATGTTGTTCATTATAAATGCGAAGTCTATATATATTTATTAACGAGGTTAATAACTAACTACATATTGACTTCGCATTTATAATGAGGGTTATAAGTAAGAGTTAATTAGCTCGAACGTCGGCAATAAGCCATATAGATCCCGAGGGCCGCAGGCCCGAGGGATGTATAGGCTTATTGCCGACGTTCGAGGTAATTAAGTATTTTATTTATCAATTGAGAAGGTTTTCTATCWAATGTTGCTCATTATAAATGCGAACGGTCTATATGTGATATTAACCAGGTTAATAACTATATATTGACCTCGCATTTATAATGAGGGTTATAACAAAAATAAAGCCTTGTGAATAACAAAGAAAACCGTGTCAATTGAGAAATAACAAAAACTAAAGCCTTTTTGAATAACAAAGAAAAACGTGTCAATTGAGAAATAATTATCTCATAGATACTGAGATTTCAAGGATCAAAACTTCCTACAATAAAACTAATATAGTTGTTGGTCTACAGGCCAGGCGACCATATTGACTGATAAGCTTATTGACTAAAAACAAACAATCAAAAATATGGACACTACTGCACTAAAAAAAGGGTTTTAATAAATAAACTGAATTTAATTTCGTTTTTTTATTATATATCGTTTACAAATTCAAGTCAGAAAGTTTGACAATTGAAAGCGGAAGCGTTAGGCTTGTTTCCTTTCCCTAGTTTCTTTAGCTGTTTCTGCTTGGAGGATAGTGCTTTTCGCGTTTTTTCAAACACAAGATCATTGATAATGCTGTTTGGATAGGACTTTGATTCAAGATATCTTTCAAAACTAGACAACATCCCTCGTAGCGACGACGGTTTGTACTCTTGGCCTTCTTTGGTTCATACACACACGAAAAACTCACTGAAAAGTTCATTCAGCTCGACAGGAGGAATGTCGGCTATCTCGATGCGTGTTTTACCTTTAGTTTGAAGAAACTTGGTTAACAAGGAAACATCTCTTGTCGTCTCTTTCACAGTATTTGTATTTTCTTGTTCTTTAATGAACGACTCTACTGAATTGTCGAGTGACACAGATCTGGARCTTTCTGCAGCCACTTTCGCTCAAGTTGCCAAGGCGCCAGTTTGCTGACACAACGAGGCTTCGTCGATCTTGTTTCTGATTGGACGAACGATAATTTTTCACTAGTAAA